CTATTGAGGACACAGAACTGATAGGACTTCCCGATGAGCTGGCCGTGTATCAGGAGGGGATAAAAAGAGGAAGTAAAGATGGTCTCAGGGACTTGGTTGAAGGTGGTGCTATTTACTGAGATGAGAAGGAAGCAGATTTGAGAGTGGGGAGAGAAGAGGAATCAGCAGCTAGCTGAGGATGAGTTGCCTATTAGTCATCTAAGTGGAGTTGTCAAGTTGGGAGCTCCTTATAGACTCTGGTGTTTAGGGAAAAGGTCAGGGCTGGACATCCACGTTTGGAAGTTATCGGCCTGTGGATGTATTGAAAATTATGAGATGGGATGACACTACTTAGAACGCACACACATTCCAAGACCAGGTCCCGAGGGACTCCAATATTTAGAGGACCCATTGAAGAAATTCTTGAAATCACAAGCTAGGTCAGAGTATGACACATGACAAACATTGCCAAACTACTTTCCAAGGAGTCTTTTATATCTTCACAGAACCCACCTTGTCTTAGCTGTGTAAATACACTGTGAGGGAAACTGTACACGTGAATGGGCAGGAACACCAGAGTTAGGGATTCCTGATGGCTCATGCACTGACACTGAGGCGCCTTAAGCCACCCTGGAGTATCAGGCTGGTTAAAGGAGGTGGCAGGAGAGTATCAAAGCCATCCTAAGGACTCCCAACCACAGAATCACCAGGAAGCTTGTTGCAAGTGCCAAGTAAAAAAATATTTTTATTAGTACATGTTTGCAGTACATAATGATTACATTCATCATGGGGAGTTGGTACATGAACATAACACATCTTAATTCTTTTTACTTCCCCTTCCTTTCTCCTCTTTCCCCTTCCTTTCTCCTCTCTCCTCATCCCTCACAAATGCCGATTTTTAATAAGAGCTTCTGGTTCACTGTCTGGGTGTGTTTTAAACATGCTCCTCCTTATCCAAAGGAAAAGTTGAGAATCCTGCAGCTTAGGGAGAGACTGGGTAAAGGGTGTATCCTCCTGATGTTTCTTTACTGCCAGAGCCTTCGGTGGATCTGGCTGGGGAAGTTTCAGGATGACTGGATGGCTGAGGGCTGGTGGCCAGGAAGAAGCATTTCCTCTAGTTGTGAGGCACTTTCCATTTGCTCTCCAATCCCAAAGGAGGCCTTTCTCTCATACGGATGTAAAATGGTGCAGTGGATCCTCGAGTTACGGCCAGCCTGACATATGAACAACTTGGGTTACGACCCAAATTTTAGTTTTAACTTATGACCAAGGTATTAAGTTATGACCTGAATGCTGGCCGCTTGTGCTTCCAGAGTTAATTAACCTTTAAAGAGTTTGGGAAGGAATGTTACAACATCCTTTCTTGTGTGGGATTAGTTAAGAAATCCTGGGCCGATGTCTCTCTAAGGACAGTGAAATCCGCCTGTAGAGAGAGAGATTTTGAAAGCTGTGTAGAGGAGCCTGAGCCTTTAACTGATCAACTTCAGTTACAACCAGCCCTTGCAAATGAATTGAGTTTATAAGTCAAGGGTGCACTGTACTGTACCTGCTTTGATGCTTAATGCTTAATGTTTAAAAGTTTTGGTTCCGTAGGAGTTGCCCTCCAACACCAAAGCATAGAGGGAAACTGAAATCACCTACACCTTAGATACATTATGGGTTGAATAAATTTGTATGAAAACAGCTAAGGAATCATAGAAGGAATTTGCTTTTAGACCTTCTGATAGGTGCCAAAGAAGCAGAGCCTTGCATTCACAGAATAAGTTATTTATCCTCCCTAAGTCCCATGCACTATTTTAAGTTAAGAAGATAAATCTGGGGCCGGGGATTTAGCTCAGTGGTTCTGCCGCCTGCCTTGCAAGCACAAGGACCCAAGTTCAATCCCCGGTACCAAAAAAAAAAAAAAGAAGAAAAATCTGATCAAAATAGACAAAACTCTTTGCCTTCACAAAATAGACATTTGAGTTACACAGACTAGCAAACATGATAAAATAAGTAAAATGAATGCTAAATGAGAGAATGATAAGAGCTAAGGGAGAAATAATAAAGGTCAGATGGTGGAGACAGAAGGAAGCATCAGGAGTTAAGAATAAGTGAAAATATAGGACAAGAAAGGTCTTCAGAACAGTGACATAGGGAAGTAACTTCTTTGAACCTGCTTCTTCGTCTATAAAATAAGAAATAATAGTACCTTACTGAGGAAGGCTCAGCCCTTTGTCATTTCTTTTTTTCCTTTGTCATTTCTAAGCTATGGGACTTGGAATACTGAAAAAAGATTCTCTCATTGCCCAAACTTTATTCAGGCTGTTCTGAACTTTCTCCTCAACTAGGTTTTGGCACTTGGACTTTTCTGTCTGTGCACTGTCTGATCTTAGCAAGAATCCTGTTAAGTCACTTTAGTCAGAATCTTCCCCTCATCCTTGATACTTCCTCTTAGTTATTTTCCACCCACTGTATCCCACACTGATCCTTGGCTACAGATTCCTACTTTTTCCTGTATTCAGAGTTGAGACTGAGCTCTCTTCTATACAAGGCCCCATTATGGTAATTCCATGTGCAGGATTTCAATCCCAATAGTCGCCTTACATACAATCTGCTATAAAGTTCTCTAAGAAGTGTCATGAATAATTTTTCACAGACAGTACAAATGTTGACTTCTCAGAAACTCAGTTTCCTCATCTGTAAACAAGGAATACAACCCTGGAGCAGTAACACATACCTGTTGTCCCATCTACTGGGAGGGTGAAGCAGGAGGATAACTGCTATTTCATGGATTTTTTTTTAACTATGTCAAATGAGATTATTAAACATATGTGAAAATATTTTTTTAACAGTAGCCAAAGTTTTATTAAAGGTAGGAAAAGAAACAGGCTATGCACAGTGAATTTAGGCCAAGTAAAAGTAGGAAAAGAAGGGCCAGGGATTTAGCTCAGTGGTACCACACCTTCCTTGCAAGCACGCCTTCCTTGCAAGGTCCTGAGTTCGATCCCTGGTACTAAAAGAAAAAAAAGGAAAAGAAGTACACCCTACAGTGTGAAGGTGGGCCACCATGCAATGGAGAACACAGTGGCCTATTTGTTTGTTTGTATGTTTGAGACAAGGTCTCACTACGTAGCCCAGGCTGGCCTCAAACTTGCAGCAACCCTCCTGCCTCAGCCTCCCGAGTGCTGGGAATACAGGTGTGCATCACCACAGTAAAAATATTTTAAAATGTGTAATCTATTATGAAAATGTAAAGAAAACATGCACACAGGTATTTTATGGGTTGCAAATCCTTTGCAAACGGTCAGTAGAGCCTCAAGACTTCAAACAATAAATTAGAGAACTGTACTGACTCCTCGCATTGGCCAGGGAAAGGCCAATGCAAATTATCAGGGTGTGAAGTAGACTAGCATCTTATCTTAGATCAAGGATAAAACAATCAAACTACATGTTCCTAAGTGGACACCTCATAAAATAATTATTATATGGCATTTGTCAAATTTTAAAATGTTTAACAGCTTCTTTACATTTGTTCTTCTTTTGTTTATGGGACTTCAGTTCCAGGAAAAGAATTAGGTGGACTTAAAAGAGTTATAAAAAACAAAAGAACAATTTAAGTTACTAAACTCATCTTCCAGAGTATTTGCTAATGCTCAATAAACATTAATTAATGTGGATAATGACTAAAAACATAAACTGTTGCATACTTTTTGGGTTTGTTTTTGTTTGTCAGGCTGCCCTTGAACTCACTACATAGCTCAGGCTGGCCTCGAACTCAAGGCAATCCTCTTGCCTCAGCCTCTGAGCACTGAGATTACAAGATTGTGCCACCAAACCTGGCCCTGTGTTTGTTTGCTTGTTTTCTCAATACTGGGAATCGAACCCAGGGCCTTGCGCTTGCCAGGCAGGCGTGATGCTGCTGAGCTACATCCCTTGCTCTCTGTTTTGTTTTTTCAAGAGGCAGAATCTTGCTATGTTGCTTAGGTTGGCCTGCGACTCCATGCTCAAGCATCCTTCTGCTTCATCCTCTGAGTTGCTGGGATGCAGGCACATGCTATTGCTCCGGGATTGCTCTTGTTTATCTCCATATTCTTCAGCTTTCAATATCTGACAGCATCTCAATAATGGTTTATTACACCAATAAACATGTTGGTGTATAAATATAGTATAGTGCCTGGCACATAGTAGGTGCTCAATAAATATTTGTATAATGAATGCACGAATGTTTACCAGGTGAATCTGCTTGATCTAGACTAGTCTACTTGAATGCAGCTTGCATTTGAAACAAATATTTACCTCCGTTGACAATCTGCTAAATCGTATTTTATGTCTATCTCTCAAACTACCAAAATATTATTTTATTCCACGTAAAAAAAAAATTAAACTTTGGTTTGAAGATAACCTGACACAGTAGACACTCAGTGTTTGCTAAATAAATAAGAAGCACATTCAGAAAGCCAAACTCTTATTCCAGCCCTAACATCCTGCACAGGGGCGGGCATTAACTGGACATCTACCTGGTCACATTCATATGGGGGCCTCTATACCTTCTCTGAGATATTGGCTCACACACATTAATAGCCACATTAAAATCTTTCCTTGAAATTTTTCTCTCAAGTGCCTCCAGCTATTACCAAGGCGGCAAGGCGCTGAAGGAGTGAGTCAGGCTCATCCTCCGCCAGGTGCTGCTCACCAAGGATGCAGGTGAGTAGGCCCGGAGAAGGGCTCTGTGGCTGTTCCCTATTGGGGCTTCGTTGCTATGGTGTCACCGCGCGGGTACAGCTTCCGGAGGTTAAAAGAAAATTACTTCCAGGGCTGCCCATACTTGACATGGCCGACTCAGTAGTCACCAACCTCAACAACAATAAGACTTTTGTGATAAAGTTCTAAGAAATGTTTTTAACCACTTAAACTGGCGATCAGAACATGACACCATAAACTTCCTTCTCTTTCAAAATATTTTGGTACACATTCTCCTGTCGGCCAGTCTCCAAAATGGCGCCGGCAGCACCGCGAGGTCAGAGGTGAATCACGTGGGTCTTCCCGGTTCCGGCGCGGCAGAGGCCCCGGGTGGTGGACGAGTCTCCGGCACCATGACTGGTTTGTCTGGCCCACAATGCCGGCCTGGCCCTGGCCCGTTGGCGTTGTTGTTTTTGTTCCTGCTCGGCCCCAGCTCGGTCCTCGGCATCTCTTTCTATCTCCCCATTAATTCTCGCAAGTGTCTCCGCGAGGAGATCCACAAGGACCTGCTCGTGACCGGCGCGTACGAGATCACCGACCAGTCTGGGGGCGCTGGCGGCCTGCGGACCCACCTCAAGGTGCGGCATTGGGCGGCGCGGGGCCGGGAGGGAGAATCGCAGGCGTTGGCGAGGGGAGGCCTAGACTGGGGAAGTTAGGCTGGCGGTGGCCAGGGTTTGGCCTGGCCTGTCCCGAGCCCGAGGACCTGCGTGGGGACCGCCCCCTCACCCTGCTGGTTGGCGCTCGCGGGGCGGGGCTGGGCGCCGGTGCCTGGGAACTCTTAGAAGGCCGGTGAAGGCTTGGCGGATATGGTGACAGCGCCCTAAGGCGACCTCGATTCCGGGTCGCCGTCTGGGTCCTCTGCCTGTCTAGTTTCAGATACTTTGAGCTGTAACTTAGTTCTCCGAAGAAGCCTGAATATTGAGGATGTGTGGGGATTGGCCTCAGAAAACACCGCGATACGTGCAGGAAAATAGTGGAAAGGATAAAGCTTACTGTGATTAATAAAATGTGTTATTTATTGAGCAGCTGTTGTGTCACTTTACATACATGAACATTTAGTTCCTGCACTATCTATAAAGTAAATAGATGCAGTTAGTCACATTTTACCAATGAGGAAACTCAGGCTGGGAAGAATAAACGGGTCTTATGGATTCTCAGTGGTAGTTAAGTATGTTGAGGAAAATCAGACCGCAATAATATTCCCCCTTGCTTTAGTTTGGAATTCTTGGGGTCGATTAAAGACCATTATTGGCCACAAAATAGTCTTAACCTCTAGTCTTTCCTTTTGGTATGAGACACTCTGGACTTGGCTAAATCTCAGCTGTACTGGTGACTAACTATAATGCCGTATGGTCCCATTTTGCAACGAAGTGGCCTGACCTGGTTTTGATCGTTAATATAATTTGACATCAAGACTTGATTATGTTTTAGGTAATTTTATTCATTTGCAATGAGCACTGACATCTTTTTCAGAAATAGTTTTACTTTTTAAATAGAACTTCAGATATAGTAAGGCCATAGTTTAAACATAGCTTTTATTCAAGGTATTGGAACTTAGTAATGATAATAGATTTAATGTATACCTTACTGTATTTGGAATGTAAAAACTACCTTCAAGGACGATAGTGACCCACACTTTTGGTACTGGCAATCCAGGCAGGTGGCAGAACCACTGAGCTAAATTCCCGGCCTGTTTTTTTGTTTGTTTGTTTGTTTTTTTATCATATTCTTTGGGTAGAGAAGTTCTATCTACCTAAGCAAGCAAGTGGTGGTGGTAAAATTTTAGGGGCATAGATAACTCTTTTGAGGTTCATGCTTCTGTTTTAGTTTTTTGGTTTTAATTTTGTTTTGAGACAAGGTTTCCACTACGCAGTTCAGGCTGGCCTTGAACTCACTATGTAGCCCACCCTGGTGTTGAACTTCCTGCAGTTCTCCTGCCTCAGCCTCCCAGGTGCTGGGATTACAAGCATGGGCCACTATGTACAGCTGAGGGTAATGCTTCCGGCTCTTCAAAGGTTCTAGTTTATGGAATCAAAGAATTTGACTAAAGAAAGAGATCTTGCTCTTATTGCAGTGTTACTATCTCTCATTTGTTCTTATACTTTAAAACCCTTCAATGGCTCACTGTCGCTCATCTGATAATTTCAGTTTCCCAAAATGCTCTGTAGTGCTGTTCATGATATGTTTCTGAAGATTTGTATATTGTCATCTCCTAGTTTGCATCATAGCACACCCCTGAACAGTACCTTAAACTCGTTTATTTTCTCTCTTGTATTGTAACTACTTTTGTTTATGCCTGTCTTCCTCATTAGGCTGTTAGTACCCCAAAGGCAGAAATGATTTTCATGCTTATGATTTTCCAGAGTTCTATGTATATTGCCTTGCTTTTAGTAAGTATGCAATAAAAACAAGAGCTATAGCGTACCCTAACAGGAAGCACATCTAGATGAAGGCGGCTGGAGGAGACTTGGACAGCAGGAGTGTGTGCATCTACACATGGTGTTTCACCACCTCTCACTCAATTGGGCCACTACGTTCACCTAAATCAAGTAGGTAATGTAAAGGAATGAATTGGGCTAGATACTTTAAAAAAAGAAAAAGAACCCGACAGCAGTGATGATAAATGGGAGGATAACTGAGAGTGGTAGAAACTGTTAAGTGACCACTACTCGGCTATACATGAGATTTGGTATGAGGGCCTTTTTATTACATCTGATTTTTCAAGTGAAATCAAATCTAGATTTTGATATGAAAGCTCTTGGTTTGGTTTGGTTTGATATTTTTGAAACAGGATCTTGCTTGGTAGTTCAGGCTGACTTGAACTCAATGCAGCTCAGACTGGCCTTGAACTCTCATCAATCCTGCCTCAGTCTCCCAAGTGCTGGAATTACAGGAATGCATCACCATCCCTGGCTTGTTTTATTTTTTTGAGACAGGGTCTCGAAATTCAAGGCTAGCCTTGAAAGCTGTTGATTTTGAAATGTCACCCACTGCTCTAGTTATTTTGGGCATTGGTTTTATTTTCAGTGTTACAGAGAATAGTGTAGTGAGTCTACCATTATACTCATTACCAGCAGTTTTGGAGTCTATACTTGTTTCATTGTCCCTGCTTTCCCTTTATTGCTTTGTTTTTGTGTCTGTGTGAGGTTTGTTTTGTTTTGTTGAGATAGGGATTTGTTAAGTAGTTCAGGCTTGCTGTGAACTCACTGTGTACCCCAGGGTGGCCTTAAACTCCCTAAAAACCTCCTGCCTTAGCCTCCCCAGCGCTGTGTTTATAGGTGTGGCCCATCATGCTCAGCTTTCTTTATCATTTTATGTCAAACTGGTTTAACATAAATCCTAGATGTCACATTTTTAGTCCTGCATACTTTAGCTTGAATCTCTTTAAAAATGTGAGCATAACCACAGTGTTACATAGCTATAAATTCCACTTTACAGTATTACCAATGAAGCTGGGCATGGTAGTGGGACTTCTAGGTCCAGCTACTTGGGAGACTAAACAGGAGAATTAATTGAGCCCAGGAGTTCAAGGTCTACCTGGGCAATATGGCAAGGTCTTATCTCTTTAAAAAAAAAAAAAAAAGTGAGGGCTGGTGATGTAGATCAGTTGTGTAGGACTTGACTGGCATGTGAGACATTACTTCTCCCCCAGCCTGCCAAATTGAGGCTGAGGCAGATCATTTGAGCTTGCAAATTTGAGATCAGCCTGGTAAAGATGATTAGACCTGTCTCAAAAAAATTTTAGTAATTCCTTAATACCATCTGATCTGCAGCACATATTAAAAATTTCCCACTTGTTTCAAAAATATCTATTTAAAATTAATTTGCTACCTCTCAAGTCTGTTTAATCCAGCGCAGTCTACTCTTTCCTCCTCCTCCTTTTTATGCTTGCAGTTGTATCAGTTGTCTTCACAGAATATGCCACATTTAAGATTCTGTCTTATTTCTCCATTGATGTATCAGTTAACCAGTTCAGCACCCATATTTTTTTTTAAAAGAATTAAGTTATGAAGATGTAATCAGGTTGAATTTTACCTTTGTGGTAAGAGAACTTCATGGGCAGTGTGCACTTCATGTGACATGTCAGGAATACAGTTGTTTTTTTGTGTGTGTGTGCCCCTTAGTGCTGCTAAGATTGGTCAGTATGTTCAGATGTTTATTAGTGTCTTATTGCTGTGGTAACAAAGTCCGACACTTAATGGCTAGCAGACATTTACCTTAACAGTTCTAGAGGTCAGAAGTCCTAAAATCAGGGTGTCAACAGGGCTGTGTTCCTTTTGGAGGCCCTGGAGCAGAATCACTTTCCTTGTCTTTTCCAGCTTCTAGAGGCCACCAGCATTCTTTGACTTTTGACACCTGACTGCTCCATCTTCAAAGCCAGTAGCATGGTATCTTCAAATCTCTCCTCTTCCTTCTTCCCTGCCTCTCTCCTCTTTTCATCATCTCATCTTCTCCATCTTCCTCTTATAAACCCTTAGGATAATCCCCCATCTCAAGACCCTCAATTTAATCATCTGCACAGTCCCCATTGCCATGTAAAATAACATATTTGCAGGTTCTGAGGAGAAGAATGTGGACATTTTTGAGGGAGAGGGTTGTTTTTCTGCCTAGTGGTGACAACCTGAAGCCTCCATTGTAAAGCTTCCCATCAGTCTTTCACCAATTGCATGAATGTATTCATTAAGGTTGTGAAATGAACATTTTCTAATGCTGTTATCACACTCTTTTTTTTTTTTCCTTTTTGGTATTTTGAGACAGAGTCTCGCTGTGTAGCTCAAGCTGGTCTTGAACTCACTGTGCAGCCCAGGCTGGCTTCTATCTCAAGGCAGTCCTCCTGCCTCAGCCTCCTGAGTGCTGGAATTATAAGCATGCACCACCACACCTGGCTCCACATTTATTAAGTGGAATTATTCTTAAGGAACTGATGGAATAAGACCATGTTTGTCTGTCTACATATGATTAAATAAACCAGTATGATAATATTAAGGCACACTGGCAGCTCTTTAAAAAGAATGAAGTAGCTGGGGCATGGTGGCACACACTTGTAATCCAGGCACTCTGGGAGGCTGAGTCAGGATTGCAAGTTCAATATTATCTTTTATATATGTCTATCCTCAGCATCAGGACAGCAGTTCCTCCTATGAGTCCAGGTTCCTTTTTATGAAGAATGCTATTTAGGACCACAAGCTGTATGTTATTTTTTAAAATGTATATTATGCAGGTTATAAAACACATTTGTGAGCTAGAATCAGCCCCTTAACACACTTTGCAACCATTTTCATAGTATCTCTACATTTAGTTCTGCTTTTTCTTTTATTTTGACCACTAGAGGCTCAGACTCTGCCCCAGGGATTCTCTCTGTGCATCATCTCAGCTCAGAAGTGTGACCCTGAGCACAGTAGTTCCTTTATGTGTACCAGGCTGCATTCCAGGCCTTCTCTTGGTCACATGTCTACTCCCAGCTCAAGCAGCTGTGATTTGAGTTGAGATAGGAGAAAGGAGAACTCTGTAGTACCCATGTCTTTAGAAAGACTGGATGTTCTTTAAGCAGAGATTGTGTCTCAATGCAGTGCTTATG